CTGAAAGTGTTACAAAGTTTCAAACTGCCAGCTCAGAGGCCGGCAGCGCAGGCGGGGAACGTTGGCTTCCTCCTTCAATGAAGGAAGCAAGCCTCATGTTCGCTTTAAGCTGCCTGGCTGCCAGCCGCCATCTTGGCTGTCAGTTAATTTACATATCTCCCTGATTAGCCAATGGGAAGGGTAGCGGTCGTACGCCAATTACCATGTTTCTCTTTTATTAGTGTAGATAATAAAGAGGTAATATGCAAATTGACCATCACACCCTCACAATATGGCTGCCTACAACCAGGCCAACAGGGGGGACAGTTGAGGGCAACCAGGCCAGCAGGGAGGTTAGTGAGGGGCGACCAAACGACTGAACAGCAGGCTGCATGGGGCGACCAGGCCGGCAGGGGGGTTAGTGAGGGGCGACCAAACAACTGAACAGCAGGCTGCATGGGGCGACCAGGCTGGCAGGGGGGTTAGTGAGGGACGACCAAACGACTGAACAAGCAGGCTGCGTGGGGCGACTAGGCTGGCAAGAGGGGCAGTTGGGGGTGACCAGGCGGCAGGGGGGCAGCTAGGGGCGACCAGGCCAGCAGGGGGGTGCAGTTGGGGGCGGCCAGGCAGGCAGGCAGGTGAGCGATTAGGAGCCAGTAGTCCTGGATTGCGAGAGGGATGTCCCCGGAGGGGTCCCAGATTGGAGAGGGTGCAACTGGGCTGAGGGGACTCCCCACCTCCCCCACACCCCCGTGCACGAATTTCATGCACCAGGCCTCTAGTATATAGATAATACTTAACTGGAAGGCACCATAAGTATGTTGCATACATTTTGTCATTTAATCCTTCAAAAGAACCTTAATGTTTAAGTATTATTTTACCTACCTGCCAAGGAATGACACTGCATACCCACTACCAATTTCTGGATTATCTTAGTTACAAAACCTCAGCGAGACCCTACTATGAATCACTGCCTCAATGATGACTAGGCTCTTGTCATCTGCATCAGACACTAATAACCTTGTTAAGCATTAAAAAAACAAAACTATGGCAGAGATACTGATTTAAATGGCTAGAGAATAGTATTTTCTATCACTGTCCTGAGATAATAGATAAGGCTTTTCATAATAATGTCACAATCAATAACTTCCATCATTAACAGTTATTCCCCAAAACGCTCTTTAACAATGTTTTCACTAAAAAATACTTTTAGCTTTTTCCACCATCTTGGACCCTGTGAAGGCCTGCTGGGAACAGGATTTCTAAAAGACAAATATGTCTGGAAGGCTGTGGTCTTTGAAGGAATATTGTTTTGAAGGATTAAATGACAAAATGTATGCAAGGAAAGGCCATTTTTGCAGGCTATAATGGGGGGAGGTCTCAGGAACAAGAGGGGGCACACAACTCTTCTTAAAATTGAAGGTGTTTATGCTTGAGATGAAACTGAATTCTATCTAAGCAGGAGATGTGCTTATGTGTGCAAAGCAAAGAACAACACAGCGACTGCTGGTAGCAAACTGAACAAAACCAGAGTAATCTGGGGAAAGGTAACTCGTGCTCATGGAAATTGTGGCATGGTTTGTCCTTAATAGCAAAGCCACATTCCTGCTAAGGCTATAATGGGGCACAGAATATAACTGGACACAGAATCCATGTAATGCTGTTCCCCCCCAAAATTTAAGCTTACTGAAAAGTAAATAAATAAAATGCATTTAAAAAAAAAAAAAGAAAACCACAAACTTTTAAACAAAATATTACCTGGCAATAAGCATAGTTTCCAAGAGCTTTATGAGCTTCATCAATAACTAGACACTTTATTTCAGCAGCAGGACAAGCTCCTCTAGAAAGATCATTTACCATGACTTGAGGTGTGAGAAAAATGACTCTCCTATTGTGCCATATTTCCTTCCTGGTGAAAGCTTGAGTAGATCCTGGAAATAAAAGTGACACTGGGTAACCGATGAGGTACATATACACAGTAATAGCTTCAAAATACTCTG